CCGCCAATGGCGTTAAAATACCCGTAACAGTTGCCAAGGTTACGCAACGACGTCATGTTCAAAAACGGACTTTGATGGTCAATTTTGACGTCATGTGTACAAAAATTGGCTGAAATTATTGAAATAAAATCAACGAAATCCAATTCGAAATATGGTCAATTTTTTGCATGCCAATTTTCAAGACGCTACTCGAAAGTTCGAAAAGTGTCGCGTTCTACCTTAAACTCTCAATGACTATGCTAACTTATCAATGACAAAAACTATTTTCGTTTACTTGCAGGATATGGGTACTCCTTCTGTCATGCGATCTCGATCATGTTTGATTTTTTTTTTCATTTTATATGAATATGTTTTACTGTCTCTTCTTTTTGTACGAGGCATAACGTTTAATGGTTGACTGACTGACTGACTGACTGACTGACAGATACTTAAAATACAATCGCCAATCTATTGTTGAATCACAATCATCATGTAGATGTAGACAGGAATATGGTATACATAATAATTTATTAATATTCCTGACATAGTTAATACCCAATACTTGATACAGGAACATGTGTTTATGTAAATGCACATAAAATAATAACAAAAACTCAATTTTAGCTAGATTTCAATATTCTTTTATTGAATTTTCATGTAAAATTGTTACATACAATTTTGACAGACTTTGTCGTCTGCAAATGGTAAATTGAAGTTTCATCACTGTTGTTGTATGCCATTTCCATATCACAAAATAACAAGATTGCATTTGAGAAAAATGCTATGCCACCGCATTAATGCAACACTAAATTGTAGTGTAGGAACAGATTTTTTTTTGTTTTTATACAATTGAAGATTGTCATAATGCATAGATCCCTGACCTATCTAATTCTTATTATCAGATTAGTGGTTAAATCTATTGTTAACTCAATAAAAGATCAGAGTAGGAATATATCAATGCACTTGAGTCTAGTGAATTTGGTGGTGAAGGTCCTATTTCACACAGCCTAAATTTCATGACTGCATCAAAGGACAACACAGTAAGACACTTTGTCAAAATCTAGGTCAGCTGATATTAAAGTTCACTTTTAACTTTGACACTTGAGGCAAAATTTGAACAACTTTGGTAGAGTACTTATAAATGATATCATTTAACAAATATTAAAGCTCTAAGCCTTGTACCTTCAGACAATAAGATTTCTTGATTTTTTACTATATGTATATACTGAAAATCAATGATCCCGGGCGGGGGCAATTTTGACCCCAGGGCTTTTATTTGAACAATCTTGCTAGAGGTTCACTTCACAATGTTTCATGCAAAATATCTAACCTCTAGTATTTGTCAATTGCTAGAAGAATTTTTTTTAAGTTTTTACTATAAGTTTTTACTATGTAAATATCAGGAAAATCAATGACCCCCGGGCGGGGCCGATTTTGACCCCAGGGCTATAATTTTGAACAATCTGGGTAGACATTGCCTTATGCAAAATATCTAAGCTCTAGGCCTTTTGGGTCTTTACAAGAAGGTATTTTAAGTTTTTACTATATGTACATATAGTGAAAATCAATGACCCCCGGGGCGCGCTGATTTTGACCCAAGGGATATAATTTGAACAATCTTGGTAAGGGTCTACCAAACAATGCCTTATGCAAAATATCTAAGCTCTAGGCCTTTTGGGTCTTTACAAGAAGGTATTTTAAGTTTTTACTATATGTACATATAGTGAAAATCAATGACCTCCGGGGCGCGGCCGATTTTGACCTAGGGCTATAATTTGAACAATCTTGGTAGAGGTCTACCAGACAATGCCTTCTGCAAAATATCTAAGCTCTAGGCCTTTTGGGTCTTTGCAAGAAGATTTTTTAAATTTATTCTTATAATTCCTTTTGGTTGCCATGGCAACCAGATTTCTGCATGGAATTAAATTCTTTGAACAACTTTAGAAGCCCTTCACCCAAGGATCAATCCTGCCAAGTTTGGTTGAAATTGGACTAGTGGTTTTTCACAAGAAGATTTTTAAGTTCACTATATAATCTATATAACACACACACACAAACACACACACAGGAGAATCGCTATATGCCACCGCATCGCAGATGCTGCGGTGGCATAAAAACAAAAAACACCCGAATCTTAAGCCTTTTGTTGTATTACAAATGCACACTTGTGTTGGTGTATTTTAAAGTGTTGCATTGCATCAGTTTAAGTAAAATTTTAGTTATTTGCAGGATGGCGAGAAACTGTCGCGACAGGATCTGCAATACATGGAACTGTGGTCCCCCAAAAAATGAATATGAATTTATGTTTAAATGACAGATAACATATAAAAATTAAGACTCTCAGCTTTAAGAAGATGTGATCTTAAATATACATATATGAGCATGTTTATTAAAAGTTTGCACCTAGTTAGTTGCCTCATTATTTTAAGCAATTATTTATCTGTCTTGAAATATACCTTTTCATCTAAATGTGCATGTACACATTTCATTACAATATGTTCTTAATATTCTTTTATGTTAGATATAAAATGTATTACTTATAGATTCAGCTATGCAATACATATCACCTGCTGCTTGATACTGTAAGATAAGTTAAGGTGGGTTAAATAATTTATCTTTATAAACACATGGTCATTTAAATGATAAATACTTCTATCAGAATGACCTTAGTTTCTGTATTTTAGTGTTAAAATATGAAAAACAAGATCAACAAGGAAAGGCGGCGTTCAATGAACGCAACCCCATATGACCCAGCAACAAGAACCAACGTGATTAGGAATTCAAAGAAAATAATAATAGGCCCACAAAGGGGAAGGGGACAGAAGACCGGGGAAGGGGGGGGGGGGGGTTAATCAAAGAAATAAAAACTAGAGGCAATGGGGAAGATACTTACCGTAGACGAGAAAACAACAAGGGACACAAGCAAGTGTCACCAAAACAGTATGAAACAACATAGACAAACATCTGAGGAACACAGTGGGGCGCCGCCTTGGAACGGTCAGCAGCATAATAATCATAATCATAAGAATCATTATATATCATATAAATCACAAAACAAACATTTTATAGCATTAACATTTATTCCGATTCTGATTTCAGAGACAATTGTAATAAATCAAAATCTGTTAAGTAACTGTTTATAGTAAAGACAGACTTAAGAAAATCTTTTACTCGTTGACATGATTGAATTCGCACCTTCAGTAAGTTAATCTGAGCCTCTTGGATATAGACAATAGGCATACAACAGGAACATAATTGAGTAAAGCAAGTCATTTTTATGATGATGAACAAGACAGGGTCCAACACATGTCATAAAATATTTATCGAACATGAATAAATGACATTTGAGGACGCATTCCAATCTGTAATGTTTTGCATATGATTAGTTCAACATGACATTTTCATTTTCAAGTTGATGTGGTATTCTAACTTCTAACAAATTTTTAGTTACGAATTTTTGATTCGATTTCACGTGACATAATCTTGTTTCATGGTACCCACTGATCAGTGATTCTATCTAACTTTGTTTCCTTCCGTCTTCATTTATCTCCGGTATATAGGAGTATGTCCTGTTGTAAAAATGGCGAGATCGATGTTCGAATTTACCCTCCATTGCCAAAGGTTGGTCTATTTTAGATTTATCTCTACCGTCATATTATCTCAGTTTCCTAAACATTGTAACACTCCTGTTTTGGCTTTGGAATGGCTTTGTATTTATAGAATGGGCTACAGCTTGTTTCCATTTGAACCTTTGTTGTACTACAACTTGAAATTTGCTGTCTGCTTTATCAATCTAGAAGAGAACGCTGCAACTGACATATTAGATTCTTCTGAAAGGAATGGCGTTGTCAATGGTTCGGACTCCGTAACACTTTCTGGAGCAACGATGTTTCTTTATGAATTGTTGGTACTTTGCTTGTTTTGAAAACTTTCTAACAAATTCTGTAAGTTTACTGAAGTTGTTTGAAGGTCCAGCTTTTCCGTGCCCATTATATTCTTCATCTGGTGAAAGCAGGTCTAAAACGATTGATTTCTTTTGCTCAAGTTCACACAATTTATTGTTTTTTAATTGTTCGAAAGTAGTATTTTCATTTTCATGGTACCCACTGATCAGTGATTCTTCTAACTTTGATTTCCTTCCGTCTCTTTCTATTATCTCCGGTATATAGGAGTATGTCCTGTGTAAAAATGCGAGATCGATGTTCGAATTTACCCCATTGCAAAGGTTGGTCACTCTTGTATCATATTTAGATTTATCTCTGACCGTCATTTTCTCATTATCCTCAGTTTCTAACATTGTAACACTCCTGTTTTTGGCTTTGGAATTAACATTATTTATCATGCTTTCATCTATTTTATAGAATGGCTTTGTTACAGCTTGTTCCATTTGAACCTGTTGTTGTACTACAACTTGAAATTTGCTGTCTGCTTTATCAATCGTAGAAGAGAACGCTGCAACTGACATATTAGATTCTTCTGAAAGGAATGGCGTTGTCAATGGTTCGGACTCCGTAACACTTTCTTGGAGCAACGATGTTTCTTTTGAATTGTTGGTACTTTGCTTGTGTTTGAAAAACTTTCTAACAAATTCTGTAAGTTTACTGAAGTTTTTTGAAGGTCCAGCTTTTCCGTGCCCATCACAATTATATTCTTCATCTGGTGAAAGCAGGTCTAAAACGATTGATTTCTTTTTCTCAAGTCCACACAATTTATTGTTTTTTAATTGTTCGAAAGTAGTATTTTCATTTTCATGGTACCCACTGATCAGTGATTCTTCTAACTTTGATTTCCTTCCGTCTCTTTTTATTATCTCCGGTATATAGGAGTATGTCCTGTGTAAAAATGCGAGATCGATGTTCGAATTTACCCCATTGCAAAGGTTGGTCACTCTTGTATCATATTTAGATTTATCTCTGACCGTCATTTTCTCATTATCCTCAGTTTCTAACATTGTAACACTCGTGTTTTTGGCTTTGGAATTATCATTTTTTATCATGCTTTCATCTATTTTATAGAATGGCTTTGTTACAGCTTGTTCCGTTTGAACCTGTTGTTGTATAGCATCCTCCTCTACAACTTGAAATTTGCTGTCTGCTTCATCAATCGTAGAAGAGAACGCTGCAACTGACATATTAGATTCTTCTGAAAGGGATGGCGTTGTCAATGGTTCGGACTCCGTAACACTTTCTTGAAGCAACGATGATTCTTCATAGCTTTGATCAAATGATGAAATGCTTACGTCTTCTTTGAATTCATTTGTTTCGAAAGAATTCAAAATTTCGGCTATTTCATCAATGTTATCTTGGAAACCTTGCAGAGTGCCAGGAGTTTTTTCTTTGCCAAATACCTTCATAAACTTCGCTATGAATGTATTTCGTGGCTTTGTTTTCGAAGGTCTTTGCATGAACGTTAACATTTCTGTACAAGGTTCAATTTCAATTCTATCTTCAAATTGAGTTCCCGAATCTGTGAAAACTGAAACCTGTGATTTGTCACGCCTTTCCTCAATTATGGCAATACGTTTGCCAACCGCCTCATCACTTTTAAACCTTTTGACGGCTTCCTCGCCAATTTTAGATATTCTATGATCCGTGTTATGTAATAATTGTGAGTACATTTTCAACTGTTTTTCATAGCGCACCAGAAATAATTGAATACTGTACAGTGATCCTTCATCACTTTTCACATATCTATTTCCAATATTTGAACGTGTGTCGTTCTCTCGACTAGTACGTTTAATTTTCTGACTTGTGTCCGATATGTTAGCTTCCTCGCGAATTTTAGATATTCTATCATCCATGTAATGTAATAATTGTGGGTACATTTTCAACTGTTTTGCATAGCGCTCCAGAAATAATTGAATACTGTACAGTGATCCTTCATAACTATATCTATTTCCAATATTTGAACGTGTGTAGTTCTCTCGACTAGAACGTTTAATTTTCTGACTTGTGTCCGATATGTTAGCTTCCTCGCGAATTTTAGATATTCTATGATCCATGTAATGTAATAATTGTGGGTACATTTTCAACTGTTTTGCATAGCGCCCCAGAAATAATTGAATACTGTACAGTGATCCTTCATAACTTTCCACATATCTATTTCCAATATTTGAACGTGTGTAGTTCTCTCGACTAGAACGTTTAATTTTCTGACGTGTGTCCGATATGTTATCCTTCACCTTAAACGTATTGTTATTATCCACACTTGATGATCTTTTATATTTCACTTCGCTATCATTTGCTCTGTCTTGATTTTCACAAACTATCCCTCCATTGTTAACAATATTGTTAACCTTTAGTGCAGGCACACGTTTACCGTATGTATTCCTGTCAATATCATGCGTGTTCAATTCAGGCGAACAATCAATAAAACTTGAAACCAACTGCTTCATCCCTTTGCGATGTGCTCCTTGATCGTTAGGAACGTCATGTTTCGATTGGATTTGCGTGTAATATGATGCCATTTCCTTCTTGGGTGAAATAGTACTATATACTTCAGAAACGTTTGTTTTTGAATTTAAAGCTCTTATTAGCTTATTGTGTGAGGAATCTGGAATGTCAGTTACTGACCGTTTGTTTTGAGATTCTAGTAATATATTTATTGACGGCATTGAAGATGTATTCCTTTTCATTTCGACTAAATTTGTTGAAACGGAGCTTTGTTGATGTTTTGCTTTTCCCAAACAATGCTCTAGAATATGATCTAACAACGGTACAAATGCTTCTTTTCTTTTTAAACACGTGGTCACGCGAGAGGTATATGCAGCGTGCTGCTTTTCTGGGTGCTGAAACGGTCGGATCGCCAGAAAGTGACTGAAAGTACAATACAATATTTGTTTACCATAAAAAAGAATAAAGTTTATTGTTTATTGCAAATGAACAGTCAGTATATTATTGACTAGTATCTTAAATTGAGGAGATTGTATCTTTTATTGATATGCCATAAATGATAATTAACAATAACCATAGCATTTGATAAAAAAATAGGACTAAATAAAGTTAGTGTATTGTTCAGCATAAAGCGAAAATAAATATAAATAGTCTCAACGGATACCAAAATGTAAACGGGTCCTGTATGAAGAGTGCCAACCATATCCAATCTAGATGGTACAAAGGAAGTGATGTCAAACCTCGAACAATCGCAATGAATGAACTGAAGTCATGTAATTGATACAAAAGTTTTAACCCGACCTGAAAATAAAGAAATTCATATGTATTATCTTATTGTCTTTCAGTGAATACATCATTTTGCTGAACAAACATATTGTCTTTGGAATTTTATTTAGAAATGAATGTACAGGCCTTTAAATGAAACCAACTTTTTAAGAACATGGACCCCATAAAATTAAAACACTCTCATAAATGTATAACATAAAATTAAGCTTATTTATACAAGATTACTGCAGCCCATTTATTCATTAACTTCGATTAACTGTTAAAGCTAGCTTATGTTTGTTATTGGTTTTACGACACGAAAGTTACTCGCATTAGCACTCCCAGTCTTAATTTCGGACAACCACTTGGGGTCGTTCTTCTTAAATGATCAGCCTAGGGGGAATAAAGTACAGTAGCTACAAACGGCCTTAAATTCCAATCATTATATAATTAAATCTTCCCAAAAATTGGCCAAATATCACCCAAAAAAACCATTAAAACTTTATCTTCAAACGGAAAACTAAGAAAATAAAAGTTAACAATAATTAAACATGTACTCAGAATCAAAACGAAAAATCGGTATTAAGAGCGATTGTTAAATTTTGCACATTAGCTTTTGTCAAATGGTATAGTAAAGCTCTCGAAAACAATATTGTCAATCCCGTTATGTCAAGAAACCTCTGTGGAGTTTGTTTACAATAGGTGATAGGGAGTAATAAGAAACCTGTATGAAGAACTTGAGGACATAAATAGATCCGGAAAGACTTCTTGTCTTTAACACTTCGGTGATAACCATCTTGCGTAGATCTTCATTGAATCTCAGTATATTCTCTATAGAAAGACGAATCTAGAAATAGATAATTAATTGACTGGTATTATAACATGACTTGGCTTGCAAAAGCATTCAAATAATAGGAGATAAGCGTAAAGACTGGAAAAAAAACAACTAAACAACATTTTACAGTTAACAAACCAAGAATGTCGATGTGACTTTCAACGCTACTGTACGTCCTACATTTCTAAAGGTATTTCAACCAAACTTTTACGAAAGAACTGGCATTTAGTACCGAAATGCATATTGTGTAGGTAGGTAATTTATTTTTTTGGACAAATAATGTCTCTTTTTTCTCACGTTCTATAGGTTTAATGTAGGGAAATTTATGAATATAAATGTGCATGCATAAAGCAACATTGCACAGCTTGATGAAATACATGGCGTCTGAGAAAAGCAAAGGTGTCTAGCAGAGATATTCATAATTCTCACAACAGGTCCGTGATAACACATCAGAAAATGAGCATTGGTAATTAAAATAAAAAAACGTAATACACGACCTCTACATCATTCTGTATTTACTCTAAAATCATATGAATATGCCATGTTTTCAACTTTGATACAAATAAGAGTGACAAGCATGATAAGTAAAAAAATGTTTGTAGTACACACTTCTTTTCCCTGTGAACGTGTAAACTCCTCTATGTCTGAAGATGACAGTGCCAGGAACAGCCTTCTTGACTCCTTGGCCAGTTGTAAAGAGACATCCAATACATCTAACTGTGTCACAGATTGTGCCAAATATTTATCTCTGAAACATAGGAGCCCTGTATTTAGTTAAAAAGTTAAAAACGGATCATTTTGTTAGAACACACACAGATTTTGTGCATAAATCGATCTATTTTGTATCAGAGTCAAAAAGGTGTCAAGGCAGAAAGGGAATTGCATTGTGTAAAAATAACAGGACTTAATCGTAAAAAGCATTGCATTATGCGTTAATTCCAATGATATCCACCTAAACCAATATTATTATAGGTGGATCACAAATATGAGCAATCAAATTTTGAATTCGTTTAAAAGCAATATCGAATGACTTCATAACTTGTGATAGAATACACAATGGAGACAGATCTATACAAATTTCATTTCAACAACTTAATTCATTTATTAGTGTAATATGATACTAGAACCATGTAGTATACAGTACTGAGGGCCTCATTGCATTACATTGACCAATCAGTCAGATCGCAAACATATAAAGAACCGAAGCCGCATTCGGAACTGCCTCGGCTATTATATATAATATCTTATCCGAAGACTGACGGAAAGGGCCGAGTAGTTGCGATTGCCGATGCCGATGACTGAGGTCCTTGTCGATGTTTTGGGCTGACTGGGAGATCACTAAAATTCTACTAGGAGGCCACTATAATGCTAGGATATCCGAAGTGCTGTGTGCAATTTCTTATATTACACCGCACATATTTCCTGGAACATAAAAATGATATTGTTTTAATCACAAAATTTCTTTTAAAATGTACGGATATTTTGCCTCGATTTTTTCCATCAAAATTTATTTCAAAATGCTGCAACTTTTCAAGGGATTGAGATAGAGTCAAAAGCTTTTCAGCGTTGGTTACACGTTACCTTATGATCGACCTGGGGTTATTTTCAGCCTCACACAAGTCCAAAATTTTCTTGGCGATGAGGGGGACTCCGCCCCCCCCCTTCAAACCCCCCAAACAGAAGGTGGCACATCCTCCTTCTGGCAACCCCCTGATGTATCTTTTGGATGGGGGGCGGCGCCGAAAAAGTGCTCACTTGTTTTAGCAACATTTCTCAAACGAAAACATGTGTTTGGGGCCCAAATAGGACATTTTTTCACTAATTTAGGCCTAAAAAAGGGGGTGGGGGTCGAAAGTGCGTTGTTTCGCGTATATATGAGGTAAAGGGTTAATATCCCCCAGGGACGAGTAATGTAATGTTCTAGTTCTCTCTCCTGGTCGCTCAAGTGGATAGTATTTTCTGACAATTTTAAAAATATTGATTAAACCAATAGAAATGTGATGAATAATTATATTTTGTCTAGAACCTTTTATTATCTGCTTTATGAATACAGGTTATATATGGGATCATGTATCTCACACACTACCCAACAACTTCTAAATATAGTTCTTTCGTGGTTTGTTATTATGACTGATAGTAAACATAATAATTCATTGCATTACAACCCAATTCACTTTAAAATAAAGACATTATTACATTTCTATTGTTATTATTATCATCATCATCATCATCATCATCATCATCGTCGTCATCATCATCGTCATCATCATCATCATCATCATCATCGACATCATTATTATCATCACCATCATCATCATCATTAATTAATTATTATTATTATTATTATTATTATTATTATTATTATTATTATTGTTATTATTATTATTATTATTATTATTATTATTATTATTATTATTATTATTATTATTATTATTATTATTATTATTATTATTATGTTTCACAAACCTTTGACTCAATATCCTAAAATGGACTTGACGAACGATATCTTGGAATCGCCCTATTACCTTGAACCTCTTCCTTTTGATAAAGTATGTCCGTACTAAACTCCACAGGTCACTAGCTGTCCTGCCTTGTCCTTACAGATGAAAGATATAATTTAGTAAAGTAGATCAGCTTTTATATTACAAACATTTTCAAAGAACGCTCAAAGAACTCTACTCATTAAAAACATCATTTAAGTGCTAAAGTAACATAGGATGTGTATCTGGATGTTAACGTAACAAAAGTAAATGAGTCCGTTAAAACAAATTACATCGTTTTTTTATCAAGAAACGATACCTAAAAGTATAGTTAGCTTTATAACCGCCACTCATTTAATACAAAACAAATATCTTTTAATAAAAAAATACACATACAAATTATGTGGCTCTCTCTTCAAAGATGTAAAAAGGAGTTTTTATTTTTTTTTCTTTTTATCCCAGATTTTTTGATTTCCCTTTTATTTAATAATTTTGAATGTTGTGAAACGCCTGCGGGCGGGAAATTGGCCCGTTTTTATAATTTAAAAGGTAAAAACCCAATTAGGTAAACGTTAGATACCTTGGCTTTTTAGCATGGACGCTTGGTATTCCGTCAGGTAAAAGTTAAATCTTATCATCCATTTCTCCTTCAGAATTCGCTTGAACTTTTCGGATTCCGAAATAGCTGTAAAAAAAGTAAAAGCGATTCTATTTGCTTTTAGCTTGCATGGTTTATTTGTCAAGAAATATACAATTATGAAGAACCGATTTGGCATGTATTTCTCCGATAATTTTTGAATAAGTTACATTACGTACGTATCTTAGAATTGTCATCTAAACTTATTGGTAATATTAGGCGATGCGGTTTAGATATTGTATATGTTCAAGTTAAAAACACCAAAACCAAATGCGTAAAATTGGGAAAAAAAAGAGAGAAAAAACATAGCCAAAATAAAAGTAAGATTATTTAGTTAAAAAAAGAAATATGCAATTGACGAAAACGTCGAGCTTTACAATCTGTCTTTGTTACTAAATTATTTCTTCACCCTTTCATCCCGCTGGAAAAAAAATTACTAAGAAAGTTAACTAAAACTTTGGGATATGTTACCAATATAGTGCAATGCCTTTTCTGTTTGGGAAATTTGGAGGAAAAAATTCGCTTTCAACTAATTAAATGTATGAATTAATTAAGGAAATCTAGTGTTAAAGATTTTATAAAAATTGATAAGGGAACAAATACGCATTAGGTAATAACCCAGAGAAACTTTTTGAAAAATTAATACAGTTGTTAATAATAATTATAATTAATTCTTAAGAATCTAAAACAAAAAAAATATGGTGAATCCAGCTCAAATAAAACTAAAAAAGTAGCTATTATGGTCCCTCTCCTTTATTTAATGTGAAACAACAATTTAGTGCATTGAAATTTAAAAATTTTACATAATTATCTTTGTGTTTAATTATTTAATTTTATTACTCTTGGCCAATATTAATGATTCCAATAGCAGGGAGCGTTCCCGTGACCGAGTTAGTTAATGTCTTTGAAATCTCAACCAACCCAAAGTCCGCGGTTTCGAATCCCGCCAGAAACATTGTGAGGGATTTTCCCCAAATGTCAGTGGTTCTACAAACATATGTCGCTCGTGCGTGAAACAATGCATAAATAGGGCTCCCCATGAGTAATAGCAGGAAAAACACGCCATATGACTCAAACAATCAAAAATTTGGTTCATGTACTGCAAACATATATTATAAACACCAGGGTATAAAAATGTACAATGTTTCTCAAATGTGAATGCTTTTCCGGGATTTTTCTTTGTTGAATAAATATTTTACCTTTTCAGAGATAACAATTTCTTTGTGGTCTTATATCAAAAACCGACACTGCTTGTCCAATAAACATTCAGCGATCTCGTTTTCCTAGGGACAATTTTTTTTGCTGATTTCTTGAGTAAGAATTCAATGATTTTTTTCACTGCAAGGCTCCATCATATCTCCATTTATATCTGTCAGTTTTTCATCCGAGTGAAGTCTTGTACAGCAATCATGCTCTATGTAGTCACATGGAGAAAATTTACTTCGTGTGTAAAGCACGCACAATCTGTTCCGACAGGTAGTAACCTAAGTTTTATTTTATGATTAATATCTTCTGATGACGAGCTACTAATCAATACTGCTTTCCTTTGGTTTGTACTCCTTGCCTCCTCTTTAACATCTAGTATTAGGTTAGTGTTTTAATAATACGTATTAACAAAAATAATTGGTCAAGCCTGCCACGTACAGGCAGGCGACCAATTATTTTTGTTAATGCGTATTAATTAAACATTAAACCTATTTAATGATCAACATTATTTTTTTCAACTAAAAACAAGGCATTTCTCTTAAATCATCCCATAGCTCCGCCCTTTTTTGCTTTAAAAAGTTTTTCTACACTTTTTCAAGTTTTTAACATGTCAAAATTTAAAATAAGCTAAATAAAAAGGCCCTTTTCGAATAAAAACAGGCCCCAAAGGTTTTTTCTGAAATGTCACAGAATTTTCCCCTTTTTCTACAGTAAACCATTTATGTTTCTAATTTTGGAAAAAAAAAAAGCCCAGGGGAAAAAAGGTTTAAAAACTTTGGGGTTTTTAAAGAAATGTTTTAAAATCCTTTTTAAAAAAATGGGAAAAAGTTAATTTATTTTTTTTTCTGTGGTGCCCAATTTTTGGTTTACAGGGGGGGAGGGGTCCCCTTTTCAAGAGTTTTTTTAAAAAAAAATGTTAATTATTGTTTTTTCTTAATATCAAGGATTTTTTAAAGCATTTCATTCTATCAAGTGAAAGAAAAATAATGTTTTGGGTTACTTTTTTTCTGGAAAATATAAAGTTTTTAAAACAGTCAGCAATTTATAAACAGACATTTTTCTTAGAGTTAACGGATATAAAAGAGTTACTATGTTTAAATCATTTGTCTCTGCGTGGGCCCCACATGTATTATCTATGTAATAATTAAAATTGATTGTATCCTAACATTTAGAAACACCTGACCTCGCCTATTTTTTTTTACGTTGGCATTGTTTTTGCTAACCTAGAAATTAATTTTACAATTTAGAGTGCAAATCAACAAAACCTCTAAACTCCCTCCAATAATATAATGTATTATTTGAAAAATTTTGCTTAGAACTGGTTAAGACGACAGATTAAGTAAATTTTATTTAGGTTAGTACACATTAACCAAAGTTAGACTTAGCAAAATTTTTAAAATACTAAAATGTGATTTTTTTTCAAAAAATAATGTTGATCATTAATAGATTTCCCAGATTTTTACTAGCAAAACTTTCCCATTTGGATTGAATTTTCTTAAATATGGGGTTTCTGTTCCATTGTTTAAAGGTTTTAAAAAACGGGTGGTGTTTTCCAAACCCTGGACACATTTTTTCTTTTTTGGGGCCCGTTTTGAGTCATGATTTGGGTTTTCCCCCATTTTCCCCACGATTTGCGAAAATTTGGGAAACAAGTTACAAAATTTTTAAAACCCAAATTTCGCCCGGGGTAAAGTTATATTAGTTTAGGTAATTTTTTGATATTTGCTAAAATAAGAAAACGATTTGGGAAAATTGGGAGTAATTTTGTCCCCAAAAGGAAAAGGCCCTTTATGTCCGTGTCAATTTCTCCATGCGCAGTTGGTATTTCCTAAAATGAAATGTTTCATTATAAAAAAACGCAATAACTGTGTTATTTAGCTGAATGCCAAAATACATGATTAATTATTTAGTCAATAATTAATTATTTAGTCAACAAAATGAAAGGATTTAGATTCGGTATAATACTAGTATAACAAATAAAACATGGCCTTGAGGGCAATATGCAAGTTTACGGACCTGGTTGGTCAGACTGAGGAAGCGCGTATGCAAATGAGGTATAATATAATAAATTAAATTGACCCTTCTATGTAAAAATACCTGAGAGTTAAGTACATTTGACAAAACAATGCACAGTATAAATGTTTTGCTATACAAATATATTGAACTATTTTTTTTTTATTAAAATGATATTGAATTTAACCCTCTTTTGGATAAAAAAAACTAGCACGAATGCCATGGTATAGTAATTTCAAATGGAGTTGCGTTCTTTGAACGGCCGCCTTTCCTTGTTGATCTTGTTTATTTCATTGCAATATAACACAAATATTGGACACATTTAAATCACGTCTTTAATTGAAAGCCGCGTTTTGATTTTCTACCACAAATGCTTAAGTTTTTTTCACGTAGATCTAGTGTATTCGTGTATAAATGTAGATTTAAGCTGTTCCCTGAAATTTTTTAACTATAGATTTATCTAAAAGTTACAGATACACTATTAGTGTACATGTATAGCTTGCACGCGAAATTACTACATAATCACGGGGGTGGAACCCCATATGTATCTCAAAAATGAGCATCGGAAAAAAATTATATGTGAATTTTCGCTGCACCAGATGTTTGAAGCATAACACCAGATTTGACTGTAAAATAGGTCAACTGCAGGGTAAGTTTTCATCTCTTTAAACATTTATTTTTAAAATTCAATCCTTTTTTTAAAGAAAAATCGAAATGTGATTCTACCCTCCTGTGACTCTCCTCTATTACCCATTTTTCTGTTTTGGATTTTCTATGCAGTTTTTCATCGAGATATTCTTTCCGTCGTGGGTTTCTGGTGTGTCCAAAACATGCAATGTGAATGAAGAAAATGTCACTTTAACGGACTCAAAAACAGAGATTTTACAAATCTCACTTACAGACCGAAGCGCTTAACATTTCAGACAAGTGCTGATTTAAACATTATTTTTAGATTTGGCTACAAACGAAAATTTCGCTGCTCAAAATGGCATTTGAGCTCCACATGTGCTGAAGAGATCCATAAGTGATGTAGAAAACCATCGACCACTTACATATAATCATTAAATAGCCAATGTATAGAAAACAATTTAGGTTTCGTAGCTTTGGCTGAAAGTTGAATAGTAACATTAGTGTGTTTGATCACCACAATGACAGGGCTTACTAGCTTATGCTAGCATTAGAAATACTAAAGGCCTGAGTACGTGAAAAAATTAATGTTGACGCAGAGCGGATAGTACTCGTCAAACTCCTCACAGTGATTACCTCCCTTGGCAGAATTGTAATTACTGCCTTCACAGATCGTCACATGATCATGAAAGTCACATGACGTAACGTCGAAATTCAAATGTAAATATCAAGCGTTACACAGAAAATCTAACGTTATTTTTTTTCTCTTTCTGTTCGTACCTACGTCCCTTATATTTTATCCAAAAAAAATATCCAAAAATATACAAAATAATGAAAAATAAATTCAAAAAGCTTAAAAATATAAATTCCCACCGAAATCCTGTTATTATATGACCGTTTTCCAGATATCTTGTACTATAAGGACTCATAGGCGAAGAAGATTGGTTCTCGTTGATAAAACACAAAAACTTCGAAATAAAGGATATGTTATTTGACACAACGGATTTATATTACAGATTTCGGAACATGCCAGTTATTTTACCCTTATATATAATGCTTTAATAACTTGTTTCTTCCCGGATAAAGGAAATATTTGATATTTGACCTGCTCCTTAAAAAGTCGTAAATGTTCCTGTTCGCAACGGGAATAACGCGCTAACAGGTTTAACAAAAGTAACCATGTTTTATAAAACTTTTTTTGGGGAACGGCATTTCAAAAAATTACTAAACGCAATTATTGAAAATTTAATCTTAATGTTTGAAGAAAATAGAGTCTTTAGATTTAATTCAAAATAATCTGAAAATATTAACTTTGGTTATAGTGCTTTACATTTAACTAGTGCCGGCGATTACAGAGCATGATAAACAATTAGATTGACAAAATCACTGCGAAGGAAAATTAAATTTTGCGGAGTTTTTGATGTGGAAAATAAATTTTATGCAAAGTTTCTTTTGGATCTTTTTTTTTTAAGAGTTTATCCACTAATACTTTCTTTACAAATCATAAACAAATTCAAAACGAAGTTTTTTCACATTATCCCCTATTAAAGCAGACAGTGGGCAGTCGAAGTGAATAAAATTTATTATTAATTGATTCATGAGCGCAATTAAAAGGAAGATTTGCGTTTTACACAGGACGTCAATAGTAAAATAAGACAAGGCCTTCCACCATAGTAATTTATTCAAAACTTTGTACTCAATGTGCTTCAACCTTTAAATGAATATTTGAACTTTTTAAAGTGCAATATATCTATATTCATATTCCTTATATCAATTTTTTGCACTATAAACATCGGTCAAAAGGGTTTCTTTAGTATGCAGTCATGCTTAGAAGAATGGCCGGTCATATTCAATAAGCATTCGAAAAAAAAAATCTCAATAATCATCGATTGTTTTGATGTCAAGACAAGAACCAGGCCACAGAATAGTGGTTCGATTTGGATGCAAAACAAATTTTTATAAGGAGCAATAGTAAACTTACAATTAAGATGCAGATGTTTTTTCAGAGAGCAGCATAAATCATAACTTCCATGCATTGTGGAACAATGAAGACCCGAGGTAAATATGAAAGTTCTACTAAGATCCAATCTCTCAACACAGGTTAACCGCCTTAACAGCAGTCATAGTCATACCATCGAGTTCGATTTTTTAACTGTTTTATCGCATTTCAGTTTATTATTGGCTTCTCTTCATAAATTTAATTCCCCACTCGGAACCTCGATTGCTTTTTATGTAACGTGTCAATGACCGATATTGTAAACCCCACACCATGTGAGCCAATCAGAAGTATGTTGGGTGTTCCTGATTGGTTGGATGACCAAAAATACACAGAAAATCATTGCTGTAAATAATTGGGACGCGCCAGTATTACGCTAAACCGCCGTTTCATCAGCATTTTTAAGGGCATGCCAAAAAGATGGGTTATTAAATTCATATCAGTTAGAGAGCAGGCATAAAATAAGTCAAATAGACATTGACCCATAATAGCGATTATGGTCATGAAGTGAACCATGCAAATATTATGCAAGGACGTTCCTTGATGTGGAAAATAAATATGCAAAGTTTCTTTGATCTTTTTCAAAAAGTTCATCACTAACTTTCTTCCAGCGTCATAACAAATTCAAGTACGTTTCACATTACTCGCCTTTTAAGCAGACAGTGCAATCGAGTGAGTAATTAAATAATGCATGACGGCATAACAAGGGAATGATTGCAGTACACATGACGTCAATAAATAAAAATAAGCAAGGCCTTCCCACCATATCTACTTATTTTCGAAACCTTTCGTATGCAGAATGTCTTATCTCTTTCTATATGTATACTATGTTACTCAAGCTCGTCTCGTGAAAATGTGTCTATTTCGGATATTAATGTTTCCATTACAGAATGAAACACAATAGAATGAATTATAGATTGCTTTATAAAATTGATGCGTAATAATGTTGCTAATGTTTATATTATGCACATATGGATCTCTCCAGCACATATATGGAGCTCAAATGCAATTTTGAGCAGAGATTCCCTTCGTTTGAAGCCAAATCTCAATAAATATTTAAATCAGGATTTGTCTGAATGTTAAGCATCGGTCTGTAGTAAGATTTCGTAAATTCCCTGTTTTTTTAGTCCATTTAGTGACATTTTCTTCATACACATTGCATGTTTTGGACACACCAGAACCTACGACGGAAAGAATATCTCTATAAAGACTGCATAGAAATCCAAAACAAAAATGGGTAATATAGAGGAGAGTCAGGAGGGTAGAATCACATTTCGATTTTTTTAAAAAAGTATTGAATTTTATATAAATGTTTAAAGAGATGAAAACTTACCCTGCGATTGACCTATTTACAGTCACCTCTGGTGTTATGCTTCACATCTGGTGCAACGGAAATTCACATATAATTTTTACCGATGCTCATTTTTGAGATACATATGGGGTTCCACCATCGTGATAATTAAGATAAAATAAAATCAATACATGCGCCTATATTATTCTAAAACTTCAGTCTACTAACATAACACATCTATTGAAATTCAAAAGAAAAAAAAAAGAAAAATGTAAAAAAAATGAAATAACCTGCTCCACAATTAACACTTCTTTCTGCGTCATAGCAAGGAAAACCTGTCTGAGAGGCGAACCATCTTCATTTAATTGTAGAAACAGTCCTTCTACGTCCACCTTCTTTAAAACATCTTCGTATTGCGAGAAGTTTAGCAACTTCTGCAACCTATCACTCGGACAGGCCTGTAAGGGCTTTGCAACACCAGATGCATACATGTTCTCGCCAGTCACCTCTTTGTCATAGGAATAACGGCGGCTTGTTTCGGATTGAAGCAAATCGTACCGAGATTCCATAACAAAAGAAATACATTCCCATGCGAGGTTAATAAATCAACAGCAAAATAGTGCTGTATAAATGTTAGCTGAACATTTTCCACAGAGGTTTTCTTTACAGTTGCAACAACGACTGTCCCCAAAGCGTCTTTTCTTGGTTACGACGTCATTGACGTCAAATCACGTTGGTTTGACGCTACAATTGATATATTAACTGCGTTGCTTTTTTTAGACTTGATAAAAGAATAAAATAAATTGGTTTCATAGATAAATGTTATCAAAGTCGCTAGGTCTATGCTGTAACCCTTCAAAATTAACCTCGCTCTATACTGTAACATTGTTTATTTTTTTCAAACGCATTTTACCAACAGGAAAATAGGTTCAACTGGTCATTTACTTTTATAAACGTTTCTAAACACAAAGGACTAACGTTTTGTAGATTAAGTTTATCTAGGCATGCTTAAATAATGTCGGAATGGGAGAAAAATGCGTTGATCTCTCGATTCAAATTTTTAAACCGTCAAATCTGCACATTTATGAGACAATATAGCGATAAATCTGCGGTGCAGGGTCTGAAGAAATATATGACTAGATATCGGATTCTGTTCCTTACAAGCAAAGCACAAAAACATCTTTTAGAAACTAAACTACTTGCAGTATGGACCTGAATAAAAATCGCCTACCTCTCTTCCCATAAATAATCCTCCATCTTGAAAATTCTATACTGTAACTGAAAAACGCGATACTGTAACACGTTCCCTACGGTGGTTATTAGAACACACATATCGCGTAATATAATAATAATAATAATAATAATAATAATAATAATAATAATAATAATAATAATGATAAAAATAATAATAATAACAATTGGGTTTAAAGCCGTGAAATACACAAATTTATCACAAAACAGTGCCGCTTTTGCACGACCGTGCATATATTTTGACGTGACGTCACTTGCCTTATATATAAACATAATGTATTTATATATAGAGGATATTTGTTTGTTTCAGTGTAAGATCGAAAAATATTTCACCGAGTGAACACCAGATGCAATATTTTCCACGAGTGGCGTAGCCACGAGTGAAAATATAATAGCTGGGGTTCACGAGTGAAATATTATTTGATCTTACATGTAAAACAAACAAATTTTCTGTTTATTTCATGATTTTTTAACGATTTTTACACCATTTTACCGATTTTTGCCGCGTAACGTCATGCTCTTATCTTCATGACGTCATCAAATAATGACGTCACAATGTTGAAGCAAAATATAATTCCATGATTATTTTTAGATTTTAGATGTTTTTCAGCACAACGTTCGTAAATATTTACGAACTACAGTTATCACGTACATTTTTTATTATGATTGACTACATTTCCGCTGAAAAAAACATTCATTAATGATAAATATTTTATTTTTACGCCAAATATAGTTCGGCTACTGTGAAATTATATTTGGTAATCATTACTGTGAAATTATCAGAATATAATTAACCGTTATAATTCAGTAATCTACTGCAAAACATGTAATAAAATGAGATAATTGGTATATATTTATTGCATTCTATACATTTGAAACAGAAAAAAAATGAATCAATTTAGGACCTTGTAAATGTCTATTTCTGTTCCTCTTGTTAATATTCTAAAAACTTTTTCTATCACAGATCCAGTGTGATATTTTAGATTTCCGGTAAACATGGTTTGACCAAAACGTCTAACGTAGAAAACTTATTTAAATGTTTGCAATGTTTTTATTTATCTATTTATACATATTACAGGTAGCTCTAAAATAATTTGCTGTAACCGTTGATGAAACAACACAGTTTTTTATTTACACATACCTTTAAAAAAATTATCTCCCCTGTGTAGATTTTCACCATTTGCAATGAAAGCGCGGCCATTGCACGAGATTCATCGATATGTGAATAGCTTTTATTATCAGTTCTGTGTAAAAGAAGGGTAAAAAAAGAAGGTATATAAGAGGAAAAAGGAGTAGTTCCATCATGATGAATTTAATTATCTGTTTACGGTAAGTCAATGGCTTTAAAAACTATTATTGTCAATTTTTATTAAAAAATGAACAGATGAATGTCTCAGGTTTCATCATGTTTCCATCTATTTGGTTAACAGGACCCCATTGGAAATAAGCACACCAGCTGAATGGGTTATCCTTGTAACCATAGATCACTTTTACCAAAATCATTGTATTGAAATTTTATTATTATTATTATTTTTAGTGTATTTTATACCTGAATAAACGTTCGCTGGTTCTTTTTATCATATTGCCCTAGAACCCTCATTCCCTGGTGAAAGGAACCACATGATCATTTAATTCCCACAGATTAATAGCAATTTTGGTGGAGAATTTCAGGTTTTCTCATTATTAATGAGAACTGTGCATGTGTGACATTGCAGTCCAAACTGTTTCTTACGTACATGACAACTGGTGCTAGGTGTTTTATTACTTTAAAAATTTAAGCAGTGAGTATCCTGAAAGGAAATAATTTAATGGAGGATTCTAGTGTACTATTTTATTGGAAACTTTTGAGTGTTGGAGTTTGTTTACTAGCTATGTGTGTAATATATACAGGGACTACCTTGGACTGAAAATTTAGGGAGAAGTGACTTCTCCCTTCAGAAAAAACAGGGAGAAGTTTTGAAATTTAGAGAGAAGTGATCATCAAATCGAGTTATATCATTGGGTTTTTTTCTAATTTTATTTCACAAAATATACATGTACACCTTTATATTTTTACATGCATATAAAATATACATGTATATGGCATGGAAAATAAACAAATGTGTATTTGAAAATCGCTATGATGATATTTAATGAAGTACTAGTTGCTCAATAAAGTTTATTTAAGCATTTGATTCACATCAACACAACATTACATCAACACAATATTTTTTAATTTTTTTTAGGTTCAACAGTTTCTGACTCTAACTTTTAAATGCAATTAATTAAGAAGAAAAGTTCTTTAATTCATAATAATTATCCAAATTCTATCAATTTACATCAGTTTTAATGATGAATATTATTGTTATAGCCATAATACACAGTTGTAATTAATTACTATCATAAATGTAATGTTGATAACAAGAATGGACCGGCAAACGTATATGGGATATTGTAAATCAAACAACATATAGGGGAACTTGTAAATCAAACAAAACGTATGGGGAATATTGCAAATCAAACAAGACATATAGGGGAAATTGTAAATCAAACAAAACGTTTAGTGAATATTGTAAATCAAACAAAACGTATAGGGGATATTGTGAATAAGACACAAATATATATGTTTGAGGTAACTTAATTATCTTTTATCACCTGCTGCATTCATATCAGGGTTTTTCTCAGCTTTAATTTACCCGAAAATTTAATGTAGAATCTACATATATAATCAATGGGTTATTTTTAGCGAGTGTGAATTCCAAGTGTCGCTACAGTATGGCCAAGCTTCAGCGCGTGTGCTTATATAATTACGTCAGATTACACAATTAAATCTGCCTGCAGACAGTATTATCGAGTGGAGAAATATACATGACATTTCATAGAGATTTTAGGGCAACTAGAATTGCGCTTTTCCGCTCATATAGGGCGAAGTGAAAATATTTACGGCGAAGTTTTTGCCTGACTTCGCCCAGAACGCCAGTCCCTGATATAACTTTGTTTTTTATCAATTCTTAGAAAAAAAAAAATTCTATTTTTTCTCTTTTTTTGTGTGGAATAACCTAAACTTCATCATAATAAGATCATCTTTCTAAATGGCATCCCCATGTCCCACATATATATATAAACCTTAAAGGGACACAACTGAAGTTTTTTTGACATAACAGGAATGAGAATAATTTTGTTTTCAGATTAATGTTCCATTTAATGTAGGTCTAGACACCAATAACTTGTGTGCAAAATTTTAGATTATTTGAACACTTGTTTATTCTAGAAATTGAATAATTATATTCTAATTGTGAATAAGGCCCCCACGGTTACACGATTTGTTTCGATTTTCATTCGTAAACGTTTACGATATTGTTTACAGTTTAATTGAAATGACCATATTATCTTGATCATTGCCTGTCATCATGGATTTTATCAATTCTATTTGGTTTATTCCAAAGTCAGAAACAGAAAATGGGTGTTTACAACCTTCCACACCGCATTGCTTTGCAATAATCGCTCGTGACATTATACATGTTTTGTAAATTTGATTTTTCTATGATCTTTCGAAAGAGAGAAATGGGATTCAATGCAGAAAATGTGTGCCGACACAATCGTGATGACCCTTGAACATTATTTATTTGTTTGTTTTGTACATGTGTTAAAAATAGAAAGTAGACTCGAATACATGATGTAGTATAGTACATAGAAGTACCACCGTTTAAACGGTATCGTTTCGGTTCTTACCAATCGTGTAAACGTTTACAAAAAATTGTAAACGTGGGAGCCTTAATTGTGAAAGATGACTCAAAACTGAGATTAGCATTGCAAATCTTTCCACTCCCATCTGGCATTTAAATTATCATTTTTGATTTATTTATTCAGTAATTTCATTACTCTTTTTTGCATAATCTTTCTGTTATATGTGTCCCATCTGATCTATTGTATGTAGTTCTGATTGTATGGTTTTAGGCTTTTGGATCTCAGTAGAGATCCTTTATAACTTGGATACACAGAAGCTGGCTAACATTTGCCAGCAGTATAGAGCCAGGGCTGTAAGCACATCTGTGCAGTTTGACCATGATTATTCAGGGTTCTCGTTTGGTAAAATTTGGGGCCGAATATGGGCCCCATTCCCGCATTAAAATAATGTGTTCACCCCCCCCCCCCCCCCCAACGAAAAGATTCCCCATCGAAAAATTTTTTTTACAGCCATAGATCAATGATCATGTTTTTAAGTTGATTTTTTACACAAAGTGTCAAAGATGTATTCAAT